TTGGAATTTGGATAGTGGTACTCTTGAGGAAGTTCATGATGTTGAATTTGATGAAACCAAGGGTTCACAAGTAGAGAATGAAAACTTGGAAGATGTTAGAGGCATTCAACTTTCAAATGCCATGAAGAACATGGATATTGGTGAATTGAGGCCTAGGCAAGTGAATCATGATGAAGATGATCAAGTGCAAGTGCTCTCTAACTCAAATGTGCAAGATAATACAAATCTAGCTAGCACAAGTGGCTCTCATGATAATGAAGAAGATCAAGTGTCTAGTACATCATCTCAACCTAATGATCAAGCAAGTGCAAGCAATCAAGTTCCAATCCTCCAACCAACCAATGTTGCAAGGGATCATCCATTGGACACTATCATTGGTGATATTTCAAGAGGTGTGCAAACTAGATCAAGATTGGCTTCATTTTGTGAGCACTTCTGATTTGTGTCATCCATTGAACCAAAGAAGATAGATGAAGCATTAAAGGATGTTGATTGGGTGAATGCTATGCATGAAGAATTGAATAACTTCATAAGAAATCAAGTATGGGAATTAGTAGAGAGACCAAAGGGACACAATGTGATTGGAACCAAATGGGTCTTTAGAAACAAGCAAGATCAAGATGGGATAGTAGTAAGGAACAAAGCAAGATTGGTAGCACAAGGCTATACACAAGTTGAAGGTCTTGACTTTGGAGAAACATATGTCCTAGTTGCTAGATTGGAAGCAATTAGGATCTTGCTATCCTATGCTTGTGCCCACAACATCAAGCTCTATCAAATGGATGTTAAGAGTGCATTTCTCAATGGTTACATCAATGAAGAAGTATATGTTGAGCAACCTCTCAGTTTTGAAGATGACAAGAAGCTCGACCATGTGTACAAGTTGAAGAAGGCATTGTATGGCTTGAAGCAAGCACCTAGAGCATGGTATGAGAGATTGAGGGACTTCCTACTCTCTAAAGGGTTCATGATGGGCAAGATTGACACCACTATTTTCATCAAGAAGATTGGAAAAGATTTATTTGTGTTGTAAATCTATGTTGATGACATCATATTTTGATCAACCAATCAAGAGTTTTGTGAAGAGTTTGAAAAGATGATGGCTAATGAGTTTGAGATATCCATGATTGGAGAGTTAAGTTACTTCCTTAGTCATCAAATCAAGCAATTAAAGAATGGTACATTTGTGAGTCAAGGCAAGTATATCAAGGACATGATCAAGAAGTTTGGCATGAGTGATAGTAAAGCCATTAGTACACCAATGAGAACAAATGGCAACTTGGATAGTGATGCAAGTGAAAATATGGTGGATCAAAAATTGTATCGGTCTATGATTGGAAGCCTACTCTATGTAACCATATCAAGGCTAAATGTCATGTTTAGTGTATGCATGTGTGCAAGATTTCAAGCCTCACTAAGAGAAAGTCATTTGAAGGCTACAAAGAGAATATTGAGGTACTTGAAGCATACACAAAATGTTGGTTTGTGGTATCCCAAAGGAGCAAAGTTTGAGCTAGTTGGTTACTCCGACTCGGATTATGTGGGATGCAAGGTTGAAAGGAAGAGCACCTCGGGCACATGTCAATTGTTGGGAAGATCACTTGTTTCATGGTCATCAAAGAAGCAAAATAGTGTTGCATTATCAACCGCCGAAGCCGAATACATATCCGCCGGTAGTTGTTGTGCACAAATACTTTAGATGATGGCCACCTTGAATGACTTTGGAATCAAGTTCAAGAAAGTGCCATTGCTATGTGACAATGAGAGTGCTATCAAGTTAACCAACAATCTGGTTCAACATGCAAGAACAAAGCACATTGATGTCCGCCACCATTTCATAAGAGATCACTAACAAAAATGGGACATTTGCATTGAGAGTGTAGGCACCGAAGATCAACTTACCAATATATTCACCAAGCCATTGGATGAGAAAAGGTTTTGCAACCTAAGGAATGAGTTGAACATATTGGATTTCTTAAATATGTGTTGATGCAGCCCCCACTTATATGACATGCCTCTCCTTCGAGCAACCCAAGGTAAAAGTTGATTGGCATGGCATACATCCTTGCTAAGGACTTGTTTAGTGCATCTAGACATCTTTCATATTTAATAGGCTCATTCATGAAAATCAAATGAATTTGATTATTATATGGTACCACTATTGCTTCTATGCTTATTTTGATCTAGTGGTAGAATATGATATGTTTGTGGGCTTATAAACCTAGTGTTTAATCTAGAAAATAAGCTCTAAGTGTTTAACTCAACATGGTACAAGATAACCCTCATTTGGAGGTGTGAAGAAGCTTGTCCTTGGATCAAACCGAGTTAAATATCTTTGGCAAGTATTCTAGATTGAACCAAAATTTGGGAAAATTATCCTCACCCCATTGATTGACATTGATAATCCTAACCTATCTATAATTTAAGCCTTTGTGGTCATTGATGACAAAGGGGGAGAAATAGTGTACAAAGATAGTGAAAAGACAACAAAGGGGGAGAATTTGACATAGGGAGAGTGATGACAAAGGAAAGGGATCAATTAAAATTTTGAGCACACAAGTAGGGGGAGCAAGCTCATGAACTTGTATGGTGCATTTGAATGTGCATTTCATATGTTTGCTTGCATGGCACAAGTTTTAAAATTCAATATACATGCTTGTGTGGTGTATGCTAGTTGTAGGTTTGAATGATGAAATGAAAATCTAGCATGCATAGGTTATCTAGTGATTTCATTTCCAAGTGGTATCACGCTAACCATGGTGCTAAGGATAGTATATTGGTGCACTCCGATTGGTATCACGCTTCAAAGGTCCATCTTTTATACCTTAGCATCATTTGGTAGACATTGTCTCCTATATTTCCTATCTAAGTATATGTGCAAGCTACAATCCAAACTCTTAGCACATATGTAGGGGGAGCAATTGCTACCATTTGGGATTCATGAAACTTGTCCATATCCTTTTACACATAGTAAATATGCTTAGGCAAGCAACATGGATTCAATTAAATTTTAATTCATATCTTTGTGAAAGGGTTGTCATCAATTACCAAAAAGGGGGAGATTGAAAGCTCTAGTTTGGTTTTGGTGAATTGATGAAACCCTAAGTGCTAACCTAGTTTATCAAAGTGATTATGAGATAGGTAGCACTACTCCAAGTGGTGAAGCAAATGAAGATCATGACATGACGATGGTGTTGCCATGGTGATGATCAAGTGCTTGGACTTGAAAAGAAGAAAGAGAAAAACAAAAGGCTCAAGGCAAAGGTATAAATGGTAGGAGCCATTTTGTTTTGGTGATCGAGACACTTAGTGAGTGTGATCACATTTAGGATCGATAGCCATACTATTAAGAGGGGTGAAACTCGTATCGAAATACGGTTATCAAAGTGCCACTAGATGCTCTAACTCATTGCATATGCATTTAGGATCTAGTGGAGTGCTAACACCCTTGAAAACATTTGTGAAAATATGCTAACACATGTGCACAAGGTGATACACTTGGTGGTTGGCACATTTGAGTAAGGGTGAAGAAGATAGAGTTGAAAAGGAGTTAGTCACGCTGGTCACGCAGTGACCGGACGCTAGGGTCCTGCGTTTAGTCAATGAAAGCAGCGAAGGCGCTGGCGTCGGTCTTCGACCGGACGCTAGGTCACTAAGTGACCGGACGCTGATGGGGTGCATCCGGTCCTACTGACGTGGCAGCACACAATGAAGAAAGTGGCTGATCGGACGCTGGGTGAGTCCGGTGAAGGGTGACCGGATGCGTCCGATCGTGAAAAATCATCTCTGGATGCTTACTGGAAACGACCAGATGCTAAGGTCCTGCGTTCGGTCACTTCAAAGCAGCACATCCGGCCACAACTTAAATGTACCGATGACCGTTGAGATTGGGTGATCAGCATTTGAAGCAGGGGCCACGTGGCATGCATCGTGCGACCGAGCGCTGAGGTCTAGCGTCCGGTCAATCTGACTGGCGCGTTTGGTCACCCCGTGTTCAGTGTAGTGAGGAGCCCAACGGCTCTATTCGTGGGGGCTCTCTATTTAAGCCCCATGGCCGGCTCAAACTCACTCTCTTGGCCATTTGCATTGACATAGCAACCTTGTGAGCTTAGCCAAAGCCTTCCCACTCATGTCCATCATAGATTCAACATCTTTGTGAGATTAGGAGTAAATCCAAGTGCATTGCTTGAGTGTTTGCATCTAGAGGCACTTGGTGTTCGTGTTTCGCTGCTGGATTCGCTTGTAACTCTTGGTGGTTGCTGCCACCTAGATGGCTTGGAGCAGCGAGGATCATCGAGCGGAGGTTGGTGATTGTCTCCAGCTCCGATCGTGGTGATTGTGAGGGGTTCTTGACCTTTCCCCGGTGGAGAGCCAAAAGGTACTCTAGTGAATTGCTCGTGGCTTGTGTGATCCTCATCTTGTGTTGGTTGTGTGGCACCCTATTGAGGGTTTGGCGTGCGATGCCAATTAGCGCGTGAACCTCCAAGTGAGTGAATCGCCACAATGAGGACTAGCTTGCCGGCAAGCAAGTGAACCTCGGTAAAAAATCATTGTGTCATCATTTAATTCCGAGGTGATTGGTCTTCATTGGTATTCATTCTTGTGATTGATTGGTTCACTCCTCGACTCGGCGGTATAACCATCTTGCTCACTCTCTTTACATTACCGCAAACTAGTTATCAAGCTTTTTAGTGTAGCTAGTTTTGAGAGCTTGTTAGTTTGGTTAGTGTGGCTCTTTAGTTTGCCTTTGAGAGCACACTAACTTAGTATAGTGACATAGCCATTGTGTGGTTAGAAACTATAGAAACTAGAATTGTGGTAGATGACTTGCATTTTTAGTAGGCTAGCACAACACTTGCTTCACCTCATTATGTCTAACCGGTTTGCTAAGTGTTGTTGTAGAAATTTTTAATAGGCTATTCACCCCCCCCCTCTAGCCATTAGGACCTTTCAACCCACTCCATCGGTCACCTCACTCCACCGACTAGGGTTAGAGCTCCATGGCAACCACCACTGGCTCAAGCTCGTCGTGGACCTCCATGGAGCGGTCTGGGGAGCGGTCCCCATACTCTTCTCTAATTCCTTATCACCATCCCCCTACTCGTACACACCAGCTATCAACTGCTACTATGGTCAGAAGACTCCCAAGTGGATCTCATGGAGTAATGGGAATCCAGGAAGGAGGTATCATTCATGCTACAAATATCAGGTGAGTTCAATTTACATTATGATAGGGTGATTTGAATCTAGGAAACAGTCTATCTGACAATTTGCTAAATTGTTGTGGATGCAAGGATGGTGGATGTAGTTTTTGGGTGTGGTTGGATCCCAAGCCAACAGATCATCAGATTGAAATCCTTGTTGATTTGCGAGATGCAATTAAGGCCTTGCGTAATAAGAATGAAACTCTAGAGCTAGAGAAGAATGAACTCAGTTTTTTGGTGGATGAAGCACATGTGAAGAATGCCGAACTAGTGAAGGAGAAGGAGGAGCCCAGGGCACTTGTGAAGGAGCTTGAGGCCAAGGAGCTATAGCTAGTGGCCTTGTTCAGTAAAGGTGCCAAGGTGTGTTGTGGTTCAGTGATCCTTCTTGCTGTGTTTTTGGCACTCCTGGTGGCCATGTTCAGTAAAGGTGTCGAGCCCCTGAAGCTATAGCTGCTATGAATGAGTTGTCTGAATGTATGAATTAGCTTAGTTTGAATTAGCTTAGTCTAAATGAGTTGTTGAATGTATGAATTAACTGTATGAATGAGTTCCTGGTATCAATGTATGAAACTATGAGTTGGCTGAATTAGTTGTTGAAATGAGAAAATGTTGGCATATGTTGGCAACATCACAAAAAATGACAAATTGTATGAATGAGTGCATGATAGAATGCTCAATTGGTTTTATAGAATCTGTTACAATTCCATAACATCCACATCCAACTAAAAAAGACAGTGAATTTCCCACAAAAGAGTCACTGTTACAAATGTTTGTGCTCCATCAACATCCCACAAAAAGACAGCTACAAATGACAGTTAATCGAATCATCATCATTACATTCCATGGGATCCCTATCATTATCACTAAAATACTCAAAGATAGTGTCATCTTCACAACCTTCAGAGTCACTATTTTCAGCCATGTCTTCTTCCCTTCTATTGATAAGAACTTGTAAGTTACCAGCAATAGTAGATTTCTCTCCATCTACACGTCGGTGCACTGGTGCAGGCTCATCTAAGCCATCATCATCATCTTGCACCCCAAGCTCCTTATCAGAACCAGTTTCATCTTGGTGAACAGTGCTCAATTCTATTTCATTGACATCATACATGCTCCTATGCTCAAATTTTTGGACATAACGCCAATTTTCGCTAAACTGTGTGTCCTGCACGTAGAAGACTTTTTTTTGATTGAGTTGCTAATATAAATGGGTCTGACTTGTACCAAAACCTCTCTATATTGATGGATCTAAAAAGGTCATCATCTCTAATGGTTCTAGCTTTGCTATCTTGACTGAACCACTCACACCAAAAAAGTACCACAGTTCGAATGAATTCCAAATTGGAGTTGTAGCTCAACTCAACTATCTCTTTGAGATGACCATAAAATTATGTCGACACTCCATTATGTGTTCCATCCACCAGCACACCACTATTTTGTGTCTGTCTTTGTCTTTCACGGTCGATAGTGTTGTATCGAACACCATTCACACTGCATGATGCCCATAATTTCACTCTAAGGTCAGGACGACATGATATTGCATATAGCCCTTCACTAACCTCTTCACGATTATCCTTCCACGGCATCTTGATCTAATAAGACAACAAAATACGTGAAAATTAAAATATATGAAAAGAATAATGCAGGACAACATATGAAGATAAAAATAAATCTAGAACCACTTACATGACTCCTAAACCAAGCAGGAAATTCTTTTTCCAACCTATTCTCAGCATCATGGCCACCTTGTTTCTCTAACTCTTCTCTAAACTTGCTGCACACATAGTTCACAATATGTATTGGTCATGCATGTTCCGCATAGTTGTTTATTAGCACACACAATTTAGAAAAAAACACTCACCTTAAATATGGCTCTACCTCGTCACAATTGTTTAGCACATACCAACAAAGCTTGTCAAATTCTTTGTCCTCAAGATATGTCTGCCTGTTGGCTCCCAAGAGTTTAACACCATGCTCGAAGATAGAGACGTCACCATCTGACGCTCCCTGATCCCATTTGTCATCATCCCGATTAAATTTAGTGACATCTTCCATGTACCTTGAGCAAAAGGTCAAGGTCTCATTAGCTATGTACGCCTCAGCGATGGATCCTTTAGGTCTAACCCTATTCCTCACATACCCTTTCAAAGTGCCCATTTGGCGTTCGATTAGGTACATCCATCCATATTGGACAGGACCTCTTAGGAGTGCTTCATCAGGAAGGTGGATAGCCAAGTGGACCATCACATAAAAAAGGCAGGAGGAAATATTTTCTCAAGCTTGCATAGTATCACAAGGATTTCTGCTTTTAGACGTTTGATTACATCCCGACAGGTAAAATTCTTTAGAGCAGGATGTGGCAATCATGGGTTTTGAGGCCTGCACCTTGGAACCATCTGCACTAATGCATCTTATCAGGATGGAAGCGTATCCATATGGAAACCGAATACTTTTTAGAAATCCACAAAATGCAACCCTTTCTTCTTTCTCCATGGCATACCATGCTGGTGGCATGGAAACTAAATTGCCATAATCTTGTTCTAAATGCAACTCCGGTCGTATGCCCATATCCTGAAAATCAAGTCTCTCATTAACTGTATCCTTATTCTTGCCCTCAAGATGGAGTATTATGCCTAGAAGGGCATCACTTATATTCTTCTCTATATGCATCATATCAAGATTATGTGGTAGCTCCAAGTGTTTCCAATAAGGTAGTTTCCATATAGAGGACTTTCGGCTAAACGATTTTGGCTCATCGTCCTTCTATGCACGCTTCCTTTTCTTGCTACCATTAGGCTTACCAGGACTAACATCTTTTACCTTCTCTAGACACTCCAATGTCTCATCCATACTCAACTTTTGTGGCTCAACCCGATTTTCTCGGTGTCCATCAAAGGCCAAGCTTCTTTGCCACTTGTGAGTTTTTAGAAGGTAGCGACGGTGTCCAATGGAACATATCTTTTTCCTAAGACTCCTTGACAATGGATCTCTATTGCAATAAATACATGCATAGTAACCTTTAGTAATTCACACTAACAATACACCCAAAGCTGGATAATCATGGATGCACCATAGTACTGCAGCACGAAGGTCAAACTTTGAACTAGTGAATGTATCATAAGTTCTGACACTCTCCCATAGTTTTAACAAATCCTCAATGAGAGGTTCTAAGAATATGTCAAACTCCTTGCCTGGAGACTTTGGTCCTGGGATGAGCAATGCCATGATGTAGTTGAATGCATCGGTGCATGACCATGGAGGTAGATTGTATACCTTTACAAGTACATGTCACATGTTATAAGTTGTGTTCATGTTCCCGAATGGATTGAACCCATCTATAGCTAAACCAAGCCTTAGGTTTCTTGCATCTCCAGCGAAGCTTGGATACACATCATCAAAGTCTTTCTAGGCTTCGCCATCGGCTAGATGGCTCATTTCATTTTCCATAGGAACCCATTTATCCTTGTGCCACCAGGTCTCCTCAGATGTTGCTTTGTTTGCAAACATCCTCTTCAGCCTGGGTATAAGAGGAAAATATCACAAAATCTTTTTAGGAAGCCATTTGGCACCATCTGCATCTACCCACCTAGATTCCTTGCATTTTGGGCAGTTGTCCAGATTGGCAAGATCCTTCCGAAACAACACACAATTATTGTCACAAACATGGATTAACTCATATCCAAGGCCCAATTCTTTGAGATACTTCTTTGCTTTGTCATATGAATCTAGAAGACCACAATTAGGGAATGACCCTGACAATAACTTCAATATTGCACTGAATGATGTGTTGCTGATCCTATCGAATGACTTGATATGTAGCATTCTAACTAGAAAAGAGAACCTAGACTGAACAAAACCGAGCAAAGAGCATGTTTTACATCTTCAAGAACTTTCACAAACATAGGATATTCTCCATCTTCTTGTACAACTGTGTACAAGTCTACAAGCATCTTTGTCGTACCCTGATCATCTTCATTGTCAGTATCATCCACATCCAACACATCACCTATCATCAGGTTTATTTGCACCCTCTACATATTCCACAATCTCAGCATTAAAAGCTTCTCCATGGTGTACCCACCAAGTATATGTAGCTGACCATCCATAGAGATAGACATGGTCATGCACATCTTTTTGACTCCGTGAAGACTGATTCAAACAATTGCGACATGGGCAAGGTATATCATCATTCGCATTGAATCTATCTCGAACAAAAGACTTGATCAACGCCATCGATGAAGTCATCGCTAAACTGAGTAGCACAAATCCACGTTTTGTCCATCTACTGAATGCAACAACAATTACCTCTAATTAGCCATGTCTAAACAGCTATGAAATGCTATGAATTGAAGGCAATGGAAGAGGACAATACCTCTAAGTAGCTAAAGTAGCCACCCTAGCACCCCATCTCGTCGTTGGTGCAGGCACCCATAGCTGGCCGCCGCCGCAGCTGACGAAGCTAGCAGTCGGAGCAGGCAGTAGCAGATGCTCACCGAAGCTGGCCGCAATAGCTGCCCACCGGAGCAGAGAAGCTATAGCAGCTACCCACCGAAGCAGCTACGTCGCAGCATGTGCCCACTGGAGCAGCAAGCTACGCTGGAGCAGCTGCCCACTAGCGCACCCCGCAGCAGCTAACCATCGAAGCAGCTAGGCCGCAGCAGCTTGTAGCCAGAGCTGCCCGCTGGAGCGGTTCACCGGAGCTAGCCACCGAAGAGGTTCGCCGGAGATGCCTGATGAAGAGGTCGACCGCCAGAGCACCTGCTCCCAGCCCCTTTCCGATTGGATCTGGGTGGTAGCACGCAGGCACGGTGGAAGGGTCATATGAATGATTCAAAAATCTAATAAGAAAAAAATGTTTCCATCTCTTAACACGTCCGAACTCGTATTCTGATGGTAAGACAACTTGGCTGTGAACTACAGGTGCCAGGTTCGATTCCCAGGCACCGCACATTTTTTATAATGACGAAAACCATCATCGGACAAGTGGGATCTGATCGGTGAAACTTTATAGTTTCACTTCCATTACAAAGCTCAAAACATTTGTATGACAATTTTTTTCAATTCGTCGTAGTTGAATAAAGGGGTTGATGGCCAAACAAAGCATCCATGACGATCTAGGTAAAATCATCATTAATTAACCTTATTCAGTGACCAAAATCAGAATTGACATTCCCAAAACATCATAGATGAAAGGATTTCTAGTAGTGCGCTTAGATCCCCGAGTGACCCGCTCCATCTCGCACCAACAACCGGACACGAGTGTAGGGTCTGGACACGAGTGTAGGGTCAAGATGGCGGACTAGAGGGAGGGTGAATAGTCCTTTCTAAAA